GCCGTCTGTGTGAATCTCTTCTTCTCCAGAACCTGTGGGAACTCTTCAAAGAATAACCTCCCTAATGTTCACTCTTCCACTTATCATCAAACTCTCACCTGCACTATTGCAGTAGTTTTCCTAGTAAGTGTCCTGTTTCTGGTGTTACCACCTACAATCCATTCTCTACACAGCAGCCAATGTGGTCTTTTAAAAACATAAATCAAATCATGTGAGTCTCACTTAAAATCTTTCAGTGGCTTCCTCTCGCACCGAAGTAAAGTCCAAACACCTCACTGCAGAATATGATACCCCAAAGTGTGTGTCATCTGCCTGCTTGCCTCCTAGATTTTATTTCATACTGTCTCTCATACCCATTCCACTGGAGCTACTCTGTTGTTTTCTATTGCTCATCATGCCAACCAAAATGCTTCTGCACACACTCCAAATTTTTGCATAGCTGGCTCCTTCTCGTTATTTCTATCTCAACTCAAATGTCACCTCTTCAAAAACATCTCCCCTGGACTGTTTAAAGTAGTCACCTTGATCACATTTTCTTATTTATTTCTCTTCACTGCACTTACTGTTGTCTGAAATTGTCTCACTCTGTGAAACTCCTTTAATGTCTGTCTCACTGCTAGAATCGAAGTTCCATGATTGCAGAGATCTCGTCTGTCTTATTCACAAGAAAGTCCCTGCCCCTGGATCTTAGTAGGTTCTACACAATCATGTAATTTCTAGCAGATAATCATTACAACACAGCATCATATGCCGGTCACTAAACACTACCACAAAATGTTTCTCCATCTCTGTTAACATTAAGAAAACTATACCACACATTTTTCCATGAAAAAAGTATGTGAATATATTCCTGCCTAATGAATCAGTCCTAATGGGAACAGAAACATATTTCAGGGGACAGTGTGCTCCCCGCCCCCCCCCCCCAAAAAAGTGCTGGTGCAATGGCATCGTAATGAAAATAATAGTAATTGTACAGTACTAACAAGGACAGTGAAATCTTATTCACACTAACTTTCAGCCTTCAAATGGATCTTACCAATTAACACAGCATACTAAATCTAAAATTAAACATTTCTGTACCCATAATATAAGTAATTGTAATTAAAATCAGAGTCTAAAACTTTATTCTCAAGTTGGTCTTTGAATGCCGACCTCTAAAATTTCGATTCTCCTTCTTTACTTATGTGCCATAATGAATTCTTTTTCTTGTTTGAAATTGTGTGGTCTCTCATATTTTATTGTAGTGCCAGTTCAAAATAAATAATCAGAATTTTAACATTTAAAGATTTTTTTCTTCTAATCAGGAAGTGAGGATTAGCACAACTTCGCTTTGTCTTTGCCCTCTCTTACAGAAAAGCTCCTCTGCAGTCTTGATATTGCAAAATAAAACCCCTTCTGAACCCAGGAGATAAGAAACTTTTAGTGCCTGTTTCTAACTGTTCCTGAGTGAGAGCCATCGCAGAAAGTAAATAACAATGGAAACTGAATAGGTGCTAATAGAAGTTTTGTTGTTTTTCAGACTTTCTTTTCAATTTTATCTCCCCACAACTATTTTATGGGGTTCAAGTACGGTAAGTAACAGACATTGAGAACTACAAGTTTCAGTTAACTTCCTAACAATTCTTTTGGACTTTATATTTACTTGAAAGTAGAATGTAGTAAAACATTTATTACATTTTACTTTCGTCACAATCCCCCAACCCCCCAACACACACACACATACACACACACACACACACATACACACATATACACACATACACACACACTATATGTAGGTTTGCAGAACTGCACAGGAACCTAAAATCCTTCTATTGTTTTTCTTTCCTGTAAAGAAAAATTGTTTGGTGATATGATACTTGCAATATAAGTCATTACAGGTCTGATGTTACAGTTGTTACACAGTCACAGTACTGAATCTATTGGATGAAAAGGGAGCACAAAGGGAATTTCCAAGTGCAGCTGCTAGTTCCCACTTGTTAAACCCTTTCAGTATACCGTATAAGTACACAGCTGGGAAATACTATAGAGTGGGAGTTAAAATGAAATATCTTGGCTTCCAGACATTTAGAATACACAAAGGGTACCGTGGAAAGCCATGCTTGATGTCCAAAGAGAATGAAAGTTTGAAAACATTTTCAGCAAGGATGATTTCTTTTAGGCTAACATATAGCATATATGTAAATTTAAACTATTTTATACTACCGTAAATTCCACTTAATATAAAGTTGGTAAGCACATTGTTAATACCTATTTTCTGACAAAATTTTAGATCATATAACTTTAGAATACTCACTGAAGCATTCCGGCACTTGCCAAGATACAAAATTTTACTGAGAAAAATAAGCAAAGTGGCCCTGGCCGGTTTGCTCAGTGGTTAGAGCGTCGGCCTGCAGTCCAGAGAGACCCAGGTTTGGTTCCCGCTAAGGGCACGTACCTCGGTTGCAATTTGTCCCCGGCCCTGGATGGGTCATGCGGGTGGCAGCTCAATGTGTCCCTTTCACATCAATGTTTCTCCCTCTTCCTCTCTCTCCCTCCCACTCTAGCTGAACAAAAAATGGAAAAATGTCCTCGAGTGAGGATAAAAGAAAAATAAGCAAAGTTTTCTCTGAAAAAGTAAAATATGAACTATATTACTTCTTCCTCAACCTACATTTTCCAGTTTAGTTACTTTTATCTGTCCATAGCTATATTTGTCATAAAAGCAAAAACAGATCTTGAAGCCATCTCTTCTCTGCCCCGCTGCCTTCCATACTAAGCCAAGCCACTACCATCTCTTACCTGGATTTCTGAAATAGCCTCCCAACAGGTCTTCCTCCTTTTACTGTCTGCCTCCCATCCATTCATACTACAGCCAGAATGATCTGATTGAAATATTCTTAAAGCCTTCAATGCCTTTCCATTGCACTTAGAGTCAAGTCTCACTTCCAGTGTTATCTGCAGGGTCTTGTTGGATATAAGCCCCTGCTAATCTCTCCAACCAGATCTGATGCTACATTGCATCCTTACTTATTACACTCCAGCCACAAAGACTCTCTTAAAGTTCCTGAAACTCAGCTATATTTTTCCCACCTCAAATATTTCATACATGCCTCTGCTATTTTTTTTTTTTTTATCCTCACCCAAGGATATTTTTCCATTTTTTGTACAGATAGAGTGGGAGGGAGAGAGAGAAAGGGGGAGAGAGAGGGAAACATCGACGTGAAGGGACACATCGAGTGGCTGCCACCCACCCTTAGCGGGAACCGAACCCGGGTCTCTCCGGACCGCAGGCCGACGCTCTAACCGCTGAGCCAAACTGGCCAGGGCTGCCTCTGCTATTTTTACACTTTCTTCTATTCTTTGCCTGGTTAGTTCCTATCATCCTTAGGTCAGTAAGAGCATTCCTATCTATTCATTCTAAGTTAGGTTTATTCCATTGTGTTCTCACATAGCATTTTGTTCTTTTTCTTCCCAACACATATCACGAATTTTTAAAATTTATTGTTGATATTATTACAGATGTTCCCCCATCTCCCGCTGCCTTTGACCCCCTCCACCCAGCTCCCGCTTCTCCCCATTCCTTCCCCACACTGTTGTCTGTGTCCATGGGTTATGCACATATGCATATAATACACATGACCATTTTAATAACATATTTATTTTTGTTCCCTCTCCTAGATAGAAGCTCCATGAAGGTATGATCATGCATGTTTTGTTCACCAACAACCAGTAGAATACTACACCCAGAAAAGGTGCTACATAAATATTTGTTGAAATAAAAATAAAACATAGCCCTAATATCTTGCCAAAAATCCAGTGACTGTGACTGGATATCTATTCCACCCTGCTATCTTGGAGGTATAAAATGAACCACTCGAGTTTAATCAGAAAAACAGACTTTTAGTCTTGTTTTATTATACCGTCTCTCTTCTCCCTACAAATAAATCTTCCCATGGTTCTATCTAATTTTATAATGATGATACCCTTCGAATCTAAAGTTAGTCTAGAAAAGTCTTGTTTTTCTTTCAATCCCCTACATCTCCCTACTGGTCCAGAACACTAGTTGTGTGCACAAAACCATCTGAGAAAGAAGTGTCTGTGTCCATAAATTATAAAATCAAGTCTCTGAACTGGTTCTGAGACATTAAGCATAGTGTAAGAATTTAAATATGTTATTAGTAGTAACGGTATTTTTGAATATTACCTTATTAAATTAAGAAATAAAACTTTTCTTAATTGCCCACTTAAAATACTTTTCATTAGCCAGAAGTTAAGAAAAGTAAAACAGAGTTTAAAATTCTTAATCAGATAACATATGTTATAGTTTGGGTCAGTTCTAGATTCTTAAAAATAATTAACATTTTTGCTTTAAATTAGATAATGAATATCACTTGCTATAGTTTCTGTTTTGATGGTTAAAGATGGAATTTACATGAGAAAGCTAGCTAACACAATGCATGTAACTGATGTGAGCAAACTCCTGCAGTCTGATGGAATGATACTCAGGACATGTCCTTTTGAAATTAATATATAGGCACATAAGTGAGAAAATCTTTATTATTAATCAAGATTGTCTGTCAAAACTGATAAATACTTGCATTTCCTCACTGAAGATGTATTCTCCATATGATCTCATTTATATAGACATGTTTGCTTAATACAGATTTTCAATATTAATATATAGCCATATCTCATTTAATACTACTTATTTTGTGGTACTATTAACTTCATCACCTTAATTCAGAAGTTCAGAGAATATGATAACCAAATCTCTCCCAAAATTAAGTTAAATATCTTTTGGCAAGATGAACTAATAAAGAACAAAAACTAAATCACAAACCATTTTCCAATTTTTCCCAGTTAGAATAATATTAATAATCTATATGATGGTTGTTTTATGATCTGAACACAATGAACTCTAATGATAGTTATTTTGAGCTTTCTCTAAAACACCTATTTCTAATGAGGCCATACTAACAGACAGAACTCAGTGACAGTGCCAGATTTTAAAAGCTCACCATTCTTTGCTGAGATGACAGAACGCTGTCCCAGTCAGCATCTTGTTGAATGGTATTGACAAGTGTTGGTAGCTCCTCAGAGTGAGGTTTGTTGTGCATTATGGGGTGCAGAGGCAGATGGGAGGCCACATGTTGATCACTGCCCTCTTCCTTCTCCCTTGAGGTCAAATCTTGGGTCATCGCTTCCTCTCCATCAGCTGAACAGACAAATGGAGAAGTGGCTTGCTTGGAAGACATTCTTCTGCAGAAGAAGGAAACAGCATGGATTAAAAAGGGCTGTCAATGAAAAAAAAAAAAACACAAAAAGCCCTTACCTTTGACTAATTCAGGAAAAAGAAAAATTCTCTAACCTCACAGATGTTTATGATCCACTCTAAACCACTAAAAAAATAACTCTTAGCTTATCTATTCCACTTTCCCTCTTAAATTTTAACTCACAAAACTCTTCCCAGTGATTGCTGCATATTTTCTCTCTTACCAACCCATAAATAAAGTTTTTATGGAATAAATTTTCATTATATATAGTATATGTATGTGTGTATTTTCCCCCAGTTCTTCCAACTAGATTATAAGCTTCTTGAGAGTAATTTGGTTGATTTGACTAGCAATGAAAAATAATAATAATAATAATAATAATAATAATAAATGAATGAATGAATGAACTGGCAAATGAGCCAGTTGGAAGATGATTTGAAAGTACATATGTCCAAATCTCGCTTATGTTTTATGTTGGAACAAAAGAAGTCTATGTAAGAAAATATAACCAAATAAGTAAGTTATCTATGATGAAAGTCCTAAGCAAATGTGGTCCTGACTTCTGAGTTTACACCTTGCATTGAGTGCTAGGCCTAACACTGTTTAGTGTCAATGTGATCCTTTTCTAAAGACCTTCAAGCTGTGTCAACTGCTGTAATTTAACTTTTAAGTGACATATTGATTGAGTGCCTGATACTGTTAGATTAGTCTTAAGGCAGTATAATAATATTTGAATTGAACATATGAAATAACTATGCCTGTATTTTATACTAGAAAGTATATACAAGATTCAAAGCATTTAGTATGAAAATAGTAAAATGCCTACAATGCATAATATTTAAATACTCCAAAAACAATTACTGAATATTCATCCATCTACATATAAGTAAACACTGACTGCATTCAGCATGAGGTCTCCATTCTGTGCTGTCATATACAATCAGAAAATCATTATTATTAAGGAGGACGTCAAAATTTTTATAATATCACTTTATCAAGATGATTTTCTTACAAAAAGGTTTAGAAATAAAGCCACCAAAAGTTTTTAAATTAAAACAAGAGGCAATTGAGCATCTTTTCTAAAACTTTATGTCATTTTTTGTGTATAGCATATTTAGCTCTAAAATTGCTGTGTAATGAAAGGAATAAAGTCTCCACCTTAATTGCTCTTTAACATTAATTGATTTCATACCATTTTTTAAAAAATGCACAAATCAGTTAACATAGGAAACCACATGAGTATTTTTCAAATTAGCAAATCATTAACTTGCTAGTACTGTTTCTACAGACAAATAAATACTGATTAAAGGGTCTAGAAATCTGAGATTAACAGTTAAATTTACAAATCTGTCACATGCTTTCATGAATATTGCAGTGAAGGAAATATCAAGTGCAAAGAAAAATAATTAAGTTAATTCCAATTTAAACAGTAGTTTTTATGTAGCAGCCCATGTTTCACATAGGATTTAACAGCTAATGCTAAATTTCTCACAATTAATGAGGGGGCTCAGATTTAGTATCCTACAGTGAAAAAATTAAGAGAAGATCAGCTAATCTAATTATGCACAGTTCTAAATAAAAGTATTACAAGCTTTTGAAGTGCTTTGAAACATATTAAAATGCTGATACCTGCTTACAATAATCATTCTATAAATATAAAAATTTCATCTATTAGACTTGATGCTAGAAAATAAAATGGGGAAAGGAAGTACAAAAGCATGTCTATATTTTCTTTGAGAAGAAATAAAATGTTATACGGAGCACTATATCAAAGAATCAGATAAGTAAGTATATTCTTGACCAATTTCTAAAAATACTAACAAATGAACTTATGTATACATACTTAGGAAAAATGATACCAAAGGATCTTTCTTAGTCTACATGAATCACACTAGAGCTTACTTCATTGGCCCCATAAATACTATAGTAAAACCAGGCGAATTATAACTATCCTGCAAGTTTGTCAAGAGCTTGCCATCAACAACAAGAATGTTTTCATAGTTCAGATAATGACAGTACCAATGATGTATCATTCACATTAAAAACAAAGGAAACAAACTGCTGGTTTTTAAAAACAGCTCAATACAATTGAAAGTCATACTCCAAAACTCATAGGGACTTTAGCTTCCCAACAAATATCCTCTTATTATAAAGTGACTTGGCTCCTTCCAATAGCAATATCTGTGATTGTTGCTTTAGTATAAATTAATCATGACACAAAATGCAAAAGTCTCTTAAGAATAATTTCCACTGCAAAACTGCACCGATGAAGAATAGTGCACAATCCTAATTAAACACAACCATGCAGCTGTAAAAATAGACTAAATCTGTCCAAAGCCATGAGTTGAGTTTAAAGGCTGGTTTGTTAGAGTGTTTTCTTAAGGAAGGCTGGGCCCTCAGTCTTAATCAGCCAATAAATTATTTCCTGCAATTACATTAAATAGAAAATTATCTTCAAATGGGGAGTGTTAATTGAAAATCAAAATTCAGAGGGAAGTTTAGAAATTACACGCTGAATACAATTAGTGAGGAAGGGCTTCACCTCTACTTCATCAACAGTCTTCTGGTGATTCCTCCAGTGACCATTCAGGAAAGCTACTTATTTATAACATCACACAATTTGTCTTTTATTTTGCACCTACAAATACAAATGTGCATCAAGGTTGCAAATGAAAGATAGGCTGCAAAAAACAACAACTATTAGATTTGACTGTTCAGCCTCAGTTCACACCACCATTAGGGGGCAAGGAGAGGGGGAAGGTAGGACAATAAAGGTTAACAACCAAGGAAGGCACACTCAACTTTGAAATCCCAGCCTTGAGCAAAGGAATTTACATTTTTACATTCCAAGAAGAATACTTCTCCACACTATATTTTAGTTAAGTTTCTTGTGTTGACTATAGTTCTCAAATAAGTTGTCAGCAGAGAAAAAGGTGATTTTGTTCTTTTAGCTAGGTATTGCTCCACTCTGGGCATTTCCTCTTGACAAAAAAAATCGCTGAGCCTATTTCAGGTTTGTTTTTATTTGATTTTGTTGTAGTTTTTGTTTGAGGTGGTGATTTTGTTGTATTTTTCAAAGGAAAGTGTGAACAAACTCACTTTAATGCACAGTTTATTAAATAAGTCAGATTCACTGATTATTTGATTCAATTTACTGATTATTTTTTGCACAATTACTTTATTAAAGAGTCCTTCAATTTACTGATTACATAGTCATCCATTTCATTTCTTTAACTTTCCCTTTTAAAACATTTTACTACAGCAACTAAACAGTGTTCTAGAAGCTGCAAAGACTCTTGGTAATGCTTTTACTACAACCACCATACCATGGCTACTCTCCTTTAGAAAATCATAATTCTAATAAACATCTGTTTTAATGTTTTAAAATGTCACATCGGATGTTTACTATTTTTTTTTTTTATCCTCACTGGAAGACATTTTTGCATTTATCATCAGATACAGTGGGAGGAAGAGAGGGAGAAAGAGAGAGAGAGAGAAACATCGATGTGAGGGAGACACATCAAGTAGTTGCCACCCACGCAACCCAAGTTGGGGTCGGGGACAAACTGCAACCAAGGTGCCCTTAGCGGGAACCGAACTGGGACTCTCCGGTCCGCAGGTCCAGGCTCCAACTGCTGAGCCAAACAGTTTAAAGCTCACATCAGTAATTTCCCATTACAAAACTTTCACCCCCAGTGTATCAGAATGGCACCTACTTTAGCTGCAGCCATATCTAACTAATAAGCAAAAGAATCAAAATCCTTGTAAAAATGGACAACTTCCATGTGACTTGACTTTGCTTTATTTTTGCACTATAACTTAAAATCATTCAAATGAATTGTTTTTTTAATTTGTATTTTTAAAAAATCTCCCTAGTTATACCCCCTGAAAACAGGGGTTTATAATGGAAGTGCTGACACAACCCTAACTAAAGCAGCGCAAATGTTGCCGCTATAATACACAAAATCAAGTTCTATTATTCTAAACGATCCTCGCTCATGGGATTTTTCTTTACTGTGCTCCCAGCCAAACTGCTGAAGCATGAAAAATTTAAATGCAATCAAATGCGCCCAATTCTACTTTACTAGAACAAGTGTCTACAGTGGTACAATCTTAAAAGGAGATGCAACAGATTTGTTTGGTGTTTTTTTTAACTGTTTATTTATAATACAGTGCATTGGAGATAAAATAAAAGAGGAAATTACACTCACATGGTAGCAGTGTATTGACTACACAGAGTACATTATAATCAGAGAGAAAAACTACATTGTCAACTTATCACATTGGTTAAACAAGATGGTTTTCTGGGGCATAGCTATTATCAAGTAAAACCTCCAAAGAGAATTACATATCTTTGGGACACATAAAACTAAATTCTCATCATGTGTTCCGTGAGTTTGAAATGTCTCTGCCCAGCAGATCAAGTGCATTCCCAGGATGCCAGGCCACTGGAAAGAACTTTGGGGCTTAGGACTTTTGGGAATGAGATTGTCAGAGATAAAGTCTCCTGTAATTGATAATGTTTTCTAGGAAGTCAGTAGGGGAGCCTCTAGAAAGATGATAATTATTTTACTCCAAAACCCCAGTATAAAATGTAAATGTTTAGACCATTACAAACCTACTCAGACAGTAAATTTACTTTATACCCTTTAACAAGAAATCAAGATTAGCTTGTCTAAGACTTTATAAAATGGTGAGGACTAGGTATCGACAGTAGATTTAATGATTAAATCCTCTATCTCAGAAAATCATACATTCTAGAATGTTAAGCCTTTCTGATTTGATGGTATTTTTTTAATAACAGTCATTTGTATATGTTTAAAAGTTAGGATTATTTTAAAACAACTTTCTCATAAGGCATAGCCACTCAAAACTATTTTTTGTATTTTTTTTCTTTACTAGTGCTTGGAAAGAATCCATCTCCAAACTATTATTTGGAACTTAACCATAGAAAGGAGTCTCTGAATTTAGAACAATATTTTTAAC